AGTAGTGAGGTATCAAAATGGTACACTTAAGTGTTTTACACTCACAAAAAAGAAACCTATCATTTTATAGGTATTTGAAAAACTTGTAGCATTTCGCCACAATTTAATTCTTCGTACTGTTAGCCACAATGGGCAGCTGGTACATAATTGAATAGAGTTGTTTAAACATTTGTTTAACAACAAGTAAAAGCTTGGAATGATCTATTCTTTCATTGGGGTGTGTGTCTGTGAGCCAGACTAGTTTTGGATAATTCCACTCCTCATCAGTGACCCCGATATAGTGTTAGCAGTTAACACAATAGTTAATATTTTAGTTGCCATAAAGTATATAGTGTTAGCAATAAACACAATAGTTAATTTGTTTCAGTTAAGTTATTCTTAGTCATCCATGGACAAAACTTTATTACACGTAAATTTGATTACTCAGATTGTTTTGTATTTTGTTGGATTATACAGAATGAATTAATCTTTTGTGTCAAAACTAAAATCATAATTGCTCAAAACCTCTGATATAGTGGAATAATGTCAGTCTTAAGATGGCATGTACCCATAGTTGGGCATCTGACCAGTCACATTTTATCAAATACAGTCACATATTTTTTGATTATTACTTTTTTTTTTATCATGTGTTGAATTTTGCTTCATTTAATGTAATAATGTAAATTACATAAATAAAAAACGTTTCTAGTTTGTATACAGCAGTGCCATTTTTACATTGTGTATCATAAATAAATATTATTATTAATTTTACGAAGTAACTATATGTGTTTTTAATAATATGCCATTATTATGAAGTTATATTGAAAGTTTAAAAATGTTATAGTTGTTGGGTGCATAATATTGAAGGATGTTATGTTACTACATAAGATAGCATCACACGTCTGTAAAGGTTTCAGTACGTGAAGAGCAGAGATGCATTACATTAATACATATATAGTTTATTTACAAAATATGTAAAAATATAAGTTATATTAGGCAATAACATAATGAATACAGTTTTGTATTGTTTGAATTGAGCTTTATGTCATTTTGAAGTCTGTTTGTAAGGATGTAATTCCAAGATTCACCTATAGGCAGAGTGGGACTTTAGAGGCCTAAAAAGTCATCAGAAATTTTCTGTTGATACTCTGCAACTTACCATACTTAATACAGGTTTTATATTAATAATGAATTTTTGATCATCTAACATTATTTGACTGGTGAATTGACCAACTAGCTAACCCTACATATAACTCTGTTTTGTATTTTAATCACTAGCCGTGTTACGTGTAATGAAACATGTTATCCTGCTCTCTCTCTTTTTTAGATTTATTAAACTATTGGTATTATTTCCAATACAGAAAGAATTAATCAATTTTATGATAGTTTACCGACAGTCTTGCGTCCTTCTGTATCACAGAAATGAAAGGCATGTTACTAGCCACAAAAGCACAGAGCATCCTTCACATAGTTGTGTGAATTCAAAAAGCCAAGCTAACTGTAAGCCTAAGATATATTTATAATTAAAGCAAATTTCTAATATTTTTAATATGCTGAGTCACTATTTCTTTTGCACTTTAGGTTGTAGTTATTTTGGTGTTACGTAACAAAATTACTAGAGAAACTTTAAGACCCATATATTAATGTAACTGAACCTTTTAGTATTAACCCAGTTTTTTTATTTTATTTATCTGTTAGGCTACAATATTCTTGTCAATAGGACATATTAGCATTCAGTAAATGCTACATCCAGTCCTCCGTTACTTAGTCCTCCGTTACTTTATTCTACTGTCATTGCAACAGAGATTATTTTACTCTTTTTTTATGAAAATAAATATGGGATCAAAAAGCAGGTTTAGGGATTTTGCATGGATTCCACAGACTTTAAGTTATACAAAACATGTAATAATGACTGTTGGAATGATTTTGATGTATTAAAATAAAAAAAACATTGTTACTCCTGTGAGGTTTTATTTAATACATTAAGCCTTATTTAATTACAGGCAGAGGAGAAGCATAATGACAGCCATATTGCAGAAATTTTAAGCAGTGTGGAGAAGAAGAGGGAAAGTGAACCAGTTATTAAGCCTGCAGTTGTCTCCCACACAGGCACTCCTAACAATACACCATTTGGTACTCACCCTGTTACACCAAACCAAATTCCTTCAACACCTATTGATACACCTCAGTGCAGTCACCCAGGTACACCCAGTCAGACACCTTTGGGTATGTATTGTCTGATTCATCTCTAATTTTCAATTCTTGCTATCTTAATTTGTAATTTACAAACAAAAAATAAAGCTTTGTAGATAATGTTTATATACAGAAGTTGCATTAAGTATAAAGTTGTTAAGTAAGTTAGCAGGATTAGAAAACACAATACTGTTCTTACAAAGGGATAACAAACAACATTACACTATTCTCACACTGAGTGGAGTAGGGCTAGCAAACAACATTACACTATTCTCACATTGAGATTGGAGTAGGGCTAGCAAACAACATTACACTATTTTCACACTGAGTGGAGTAGGGCTAGCAAACAACATTACACTATTCTCACACTAAGTGGAGTAGGGCTAGCAATTAACGTTACACTATTCTCACACTGAGTGGAGTAGGGCTAGCAAACAACATTACACTATTCTCACATTGAGAGTGAATTAGGGCTAGCAATTAACGTTACACTATTCTCACACTGAGTGGAGTAGGGCTAGCAAACAACATTACACTATTCTCACATTGAGAGTGAAGTAGGGCTTGCAATTAACGTTACACTATTCTCACACTGAGTGGAAGGGCTAGTAAACAACATTACACTATTCTCACATTGAGAGTGGAGTAGGGCTAGCAAACAACATTACACTATTATCACATTGAGAGTGGAGTAGGGCTAACAATTAACATTACACTATTCTCACACTGAGTGGAGTAGGGCTAGCAAACAACATTACACTATTCTCACACTGAGTGGAGTAGGGCTAGCAAACAACATTACACTTTTATCACATTGAGAGTGGAGTAGGGCTAGCAAACAACATTACACTTTTATCACATTGAGAGTGGAGTAGGGCTAGCAAACAACATTACACTTTTATCACATTGAGAGTGGAGTAGGGCTAGCAAACAACATTACACTATTCTCACACTGATAGAGTAGTAAACAACATTATGTTATTCTCACACTGAGTGGAGTAGGGCTAGCAAACAACATTACACTATTCTCACAAAGAGTGGAGTAGGGCTAGTAAACAACATTACACTATTCTCACATTGAGAGTGGAGTAGGGCTAGCAAACAACATTACACTATTCTCACACTAAGTGGAGTAGGGCTAGCAAACAACATTACACTTTTCTCACAAAGAGTGGAGTAGTAAACAACATTACATTATTCTCACACTAATAGAGTGAAGTAAAATGAATAACAAACATTGATGTAAGAGTAATCATTTATAAATCAGGTAGGGCTGATTATTTATACTGAGAGAAAATAACATGAAAAATCTGATATCTTAACATATTAAAAGAAAATAGTGAAAACAAAATATATTCTTTGTTGTAGAAATCTAAAAACAAATGTTTTATTATAAACACTATACAGAGTATAATTTTTCTATGTATCTGACTTTAGTAATAAAGAAGACAAAGAAATGTTTAGCTTCTTGCATCCTGAAATACTCGTTGAGATTATAATTTTCAGTGCTTGTATAGATACTGTATAATTGTCAACATAATCTCAAGTTATAAATAGTGAGGACTTTATCTTTTAATGTAAAAGACTTAAAATTTACATAAAAGTCTTACTTAACCCTTCAACTGCAGTTGACATCATATGATGCAAGCATTTTGCGAGCAACATTTTGAATGGCCCGCTACAAAAATTCGTAAATCTTTGCACATGGAGTGGTAGGCAGATTTACACAAGCCATAAACGAAGGGTAAAAAATATTCATGTTATGTAAAAACAAGCTCATAAAACATTTTAATATTTGTTAAATTGTATAGTACAATGATAGCACACAAATATTCTTCAAATTTATTGCATTTCTGATCAATTCAGATAAAAATATCGTAAACAAAGGCATATATATATATAAAGTAACTTATGCTATTATATTTTGAGTTATATGACCTAAAAATTCATGAGACTTGTATCATGACAAGACGTATAAGGACTGTATCATGTACATTTAAATACGAACAATACATATGTAAATTTACAAAGATACATCTTATTTCTGTTTTTTTTTAGAACCACCCCAGTAGTTCAGTGATAAGTCTGCAGGCAAATGATGCTAAAAATTAGGTTTCAATACTTGTGGTGGGTAGAGCATAGATAGCCCATTGAGTAGTTTTGTGCTTAGCATTAATCAACTAAAACAGTCAAGTACTGTGAATTTCAAGACATTATATCATAACAACAATTATTTGATAATTTGTTAATAGAATTAATATTATTTTGAAGCAGAAAATTTGGATATATATATATATGAAACTCGTACTAATTATTTATAGGCTATGCTGTAAGCCTTTAATAATTCATTGCACCAGTTTAAAATAAAACATTATTTAAACTTAACATAAACGCTCAGTCAGCAACATTAGTTCTCTCCTTGAACTACTAAATAGTGAGAGATCAAGTCATCGTATTAATCTTTGTACCTGTAATGATTCATCAGAACTTGTAGAACGTTTTTACACAGCATTTAGAAAAACTGTTGTATGGATTGATTTATTAGATTAAGAACAATTAATGATGTCTTAAAGAATTAATCAGAACACAAGGAGTGCAATTAGAGTGTTTAATGTAAGGTATCCTTCCATTAGATGAAGAAGATTCATCCAGCATCTTAAGCCTTTGTAGTTCTGAGTCTGACACAGAGTTTGTTGTGGTACCCATGCCTCCATGCTTTAATTTAAGCAAGCCTTTCTTGACTTCTGATATGTGGACCAGCAGTTTGGCAGGTGAGTTTATGGCACTGTATACCCTTACTGGATTTTAGTAACGTTTTCATAAGCCAAACTTTTTTGTGAAGATACTAAGTTTTTCTGCCAGTGTAGTAAATGAAGTCATAACATCCTGTACTCTCTACTCTGAAGATGATATAGATAGGTTTAAAGCTAATGTAATCATGAAAGTTGATATCTGAAGGAACATAGAAACCTCACATAAACACCCAACTAAATTCAGAGTTGATATAAAAACCAGTTTATTCAAAGCTTTTGGCTTATTGTTTAACTAAATTCAGAGTTGATATAAAAACCAGTTTATTCAAAGCTTTTGGCTTATTGTTTAAGGTAGCGACCTATTTTGTTTTTGAGATACCTAAAATGATTGTTTTGTAAACACTACTTACACTTATAAATTACAATAGTCTCCCAAGTATTTCAAATAATTATTTTTGTTATGCATGTAAAACAACGTTGTAGTATTGTAAGTTAGTGTTGGGGGGTGAACTGCACTAGTGCATCTGAAAAAGTTGTGGAATGAGCAAGAAATGGGAAATCTAGTCTGCGTTACTTGTCACATCAATAATCAAGCATTATAGAATAAAGGTTCTCGACGTTTTCCCGAGTCAAGCCTCAATCTACCAAAGGGGACACTTTTCTCAGACATGTATACACACGTGTATGAATTATGATGATGACTTCTAACATCATTAAAGCATTAGTTTGGGTAATGCTAACTTACTGATAGAAGTCCAGGATCTTATGATAAGTACATAACTTACCTGTAGAGGTGTTTGTGCTGTTAGTGCGAGACTTGCTGCCATGTTTCACTGGTTGAGAACCTCTAATCTATAGAGGTGTTTGTGCTGTTAGTGGGAGACTTGCTGCCATGTTTCACAGGTTGAGAACCTCTAATCTATAGAGGTGTTTGTGCTGTTAATGGGAGACTTGCTGTCATGTTTCACTGGTTGAGAACCTCTAATCTATAGAGGTGTTTGTGCTGTTAGTGGGAGACTTGCTGCCATGTTTCACTGGTTGAGAACCTCTAATCTAGAAATGTTCCTGATGCCCCATTCCATAATGTATATTGTTTCTGGTATTAAATACTGAAAGTCACATTTCTCATTACCACTGCACAAGGAATTGCAGCATTAAGAGATCCTTGTGAAGATTGTAAAATTAATAACTTGGTTTTTGCTCCTTTAGGGAAATATTACAGTTTTACCTATTAAGAATATAAACAAGTGCAGTTGAAAGAACTACATCTATAAACTGATTTTACAAGTTTCATTTTTTGATTTCCAAAACAATAACAACTTTGTTCTTATTTTTTATTGTGGTCATTATATATTGCACATATTCGCTTATTTTTAAAGATGTGTCAGCTACAATTACACCCTGAACTTTTTAATGCAAGACACTGTATGGTTGTCTTCAGTTGTAACACATATTAACTTGTACCAAAGAGTTGAAACTTTTAATAGGTTGACTGTTGTGTTTTGTTTAGCAGTAGGAGATTTGACATAACCTTTCGAACATTAATCGGTTTAGGTTGCAAATTAATTTTTGAAAGTAAACATACAAGAACAAATAGTCATTTTTTCCAAACACGCTTTTTTTTTTAATATATATAAAATACTTCTTTGTGACCAGCTTTAGGCTGGTGACCTATTATAGTAATCACTATAGCTTGGATGGGCTTAGTGGCTGAAGGTAGAGCTCTTAGTATGTTGTGATAATAATTTGGAGCTTTTGATATTAAGGCAACATTGTATTTGTTTTATGTAGAAGCAGAAGAGAAGAGCCAAGTGTCCACAAACAAAACAACCAATTCCATACTTCACCCATCAGAAAGCAAGACAGAGTCTGTAACGAATGTAGATGACGATGTCTCGTATTTTTTAATGGAAGATATTACCACCTCTTTTAAAACTGGTGTAGAAAATAAGCAGCAAGAGGAGTTATTGGGTCATCGTGTAACCTCTATGCCTGATTTTGATAACCCAGCTTTAAATATAATTGAAAATCAGGTTTCAGAGAATAGTAATTTATCACAGACAGTTCCAGTTAACATAACTGTGGAGAGAACCGGTGCTGGTGCTTCTGAAAATCAGGTTTGGATAATGACACAAAACTGTGTTTTTAAATACAAATCATTGGTCTGTTTATTCTGACATTATGTTAAAGACAAATAATTAGCCTGGTTATTTTGATATTGTCTTGTTAAAAGAAAAATAATTAACCTTTTTATTTTGATATTTTTTTGTTAAACATCATGAGCCTGTTTTATTTTATATTGTTTTATTAAAGATCATAAGCCTGTTTATTTTGATATTTTTTTGTTAAAGATCATAAGCCTGTTTATTTTATATTGTTTTATTAAAGATCATAAGCCTGTTTATTTTGATATTTTTTGTTAAAGATCATAAGCCTGTTTACTTTGATATTGTCTTGTTAAAAGAAAAATAATTAGCCTGTTTATTTTGATATTTTTTTGTTAAAGATCATAAGCCTGTTTATTTTGATATTTTTTTTGTTAAAGATCATAAGCCTGTTTATTTTGATATTTTTTGTTAAAGATCATAAGCCTGTTTATTTTGATATTTTTTGTTAAAAATCATAAGCCTGTTTTATTTTATATTGTTTTGTTTTGAAAGACAGACGGTTATTTTAATAATGTTGTTTTGAAGATTAAGTGTTAGTTTCCTTTCATTAATATATTAAACCATAAATGTGTCCCAACAATCATGCTTGAAAGATAGCTGTTAAAAACTTTGTGACTTCAGTTAGGGAAATGATGTATGTACTCACAGTTTATAGGTAAAGCATGCAAAAATTATACAGTTTTATTTACTTGATTTTCATGGTTAACGTTGAGAGGGAACTTACTTAAGGCCAGCTTTTAAATGACAGAGTACAGAAGTGGTGCTGGATATCTTGTAATAACTGTGATATTACAACATAATAAAGTTAATAATTTTAACCCCATCTGTACTAGCTCTATTGCCAATTATTTGGTCACGTTTTGCCAGCTACTATACTCTGTTTTTAAGAAGGGACGTGATTGAAATTATTGTCAGTCTTATCATGAGATAATATCCTCAGTAATTTATGTATACTCAGTTTCAAAAGGAAGATTTTATAGGTTTTCTTGTGATTTTAGGTGTCTAACAGGTATGTTTATATTTCATATTTGTGTTAAGGGCAAATTAATGGAAGATACAGAAGATAAACATGATCGAGAACAACTACCTGATAAGATTAGTGTTGCTGAAGCTAAATCAGATGTTAAGGTTCTGCCTTTGGGACAGAATCCCACAATTTCCTCTACTGAAAAGTAAGACTAGTTTTTGGTGACATTATGTACTATATTAAGCACTGTATTTCCAGTAATGTTATCCATTAGTTTGGTTAGGGTGATATGGTAGAGACCACTCCAGATGAAAACTTAATAGATTTTTTCTATCCCTTAATAACATTATTCAGTCCAAAATTTCTGTAAAATTCTTTTAATCAAACATTTTTTATGTTCTGTAAAAATCTAGATCTGTTCAGGTTCTTCCCGAAGCACTTGTCATGGGAGCTCTGAGTGCTGCAGCTTCCGTTTATAACACAGCCCGTGCCGTCTTCACTGGAACAAATCAGGTAAAGCATGAAATATTTTTATTATAACAGTTATTTTGCCTTGATAGCTTAATATATAAACTTAAGCTTAACCTCATGACATATTATCGGAATTACGGCCAAACATATTGCTAGCAGCAAGGATGCCCAACTGTTGAAACAATGTTTTCTAATCATGATAAGTAAGAACAGTATATTTAATTAACTGTGTTTATTAATCAGTTGTTTTCTGGTTCTGATCCCATTTCACTGTCACAAAGTCAATAAGGAGTTTTTTATCTCTATGAGTCAGTCTTTAATCTGATAGTTCCCCCACTCAAACTAAATATGCTTACTATTTTGTGCAATTCAGTCCATGTGTTTGTAATATTTTTATGGCAGAAGTCCCTTGTGAATATCCTTTGTGTCACATCTTGTAATTTGTTGTTAATGTATTTTAATATTTCTCTGGTACAAACAAACTATACAGATGGCCAAAAGAAAGTACACCAACAAAATTTATTGTTATCTTCAACATGAATGAATCTCAAATGTATATGTTATGTTCATAGTATGAGCCTAGATGTAGGCTATGTTTGTTAGTGTGAAACGCAGTTTGCAAACAAAACTCTCTCTGATGCGTGAAAATGCATTTTAACAGTTTGCATCACAGGAAACTGTTCCCAAAGGATATAAAAATGCATCTGCATATTTCTACAACAATCACTGGAGAGAAAAATCACCTTAAAACCTATCATAACGTATAAAGGAAAATCACCTTAAAACCTACCATGAATTACAGAGGAAAAATCACCTAAAAACCTACCATGAATTACAGAGGAAAATCACCTAAGACCTACCATAACTTATAAAGGAAAAGCACCTAAAACCTACCATAACTTATAAAGGAAAATCACCTTAAAACCTACCATGAATTACAGAGGAAAATCACCTAAAACCTACCATGAATTACAGAGGAAAATCACCTAAAACCTACCATAACTTATAAGGAAAATCACCATAAACCTACCATAACTTATAAAGGAAAATCACCTAAGACCTACCATGAATTACAGAGGAAAATCACCTAAGACCTACCATAACTTATAAAGGAAAATCACCTAAGACCTACCATGAATTACAGAGGAAAATCACCTAAAAACCTACCATAACTTATAAAGGAAAATCACCTAAAACCTACCATGAATTACAGAGGAAAATCACCTAACACCTACCATAACGTATAAAGGAAAATCACCTGAGGAAATCACCTAAAACCTACCATGAATTACAGAGGAAATCACCTAAAACCTACCATGAATTACAGAGGAAATCACCTAAACCTACCATAATTTATAAGGAAAATCACCATAAACCTACCATAACTTATAAGGAAAATCACCTAAAAACCTACCATGAATTACAGAGGAAAATCACCTAAGACCTACCATAACTTATAAGGAAAATCACCTAAAAACCCACCATGAATTATAAGGAAAATCACCTTAAACCTACCATAACTTATAACAAAAATCACCCATATACTATCACAATTTACACAGCAGCGAGAGATGGCATTTGGAATGCATGATTGCAAAAAAATTCAGATGTTCAAGAGTGACTATTACAAAGTTGTCAGGCTGGTTTGGGCAGACTGATCAGACGGGCCTTGGACAGGCAGGCCTCATGACCACACATCAAGAAGATTACTATTTACTTACTCATACTGCATTTGAAAAACATGTTCCTGACTGTGATGTCATTGGCAGCAAATTCACTGAGTTATGCCATCAGCTGACACACTTTAACCAGGCAACTTATAGCTACAGGGATCCACATCTACAGTCCCTATAAAGGGACAATGCTAACCCTTGAACATTATCTTTGCAGACTTAGGTTGGTGAGATATCTTTTAAGATGGTACATACACAGCTGGTGTAGGCTTCTCTTCTCGTACAAAAACATGTTATTCTTATACAAAGCTAATGGCCAAGTCTGGGGGGCAAACACCCCAGTGTTGTATTTAGAAGACAGACACCTTTGAGAGAGGAAACATCATAGTGTGGGGCAGAATTTGTGGTGGCCAGAGGATCTCACTTGTAATCTATGGTAACCTCACTGATCAAATAACATCTTGCTAACTTTTGTTCTGTCCTTCTCCTGTTAATAGCCCTAGGATAGTTTTTTTTCCAGCACGACAGTGTCAGACCCTGCACACAGAGAGTAGCACAATAGTTCATCCAATCCATCAATATCACTGTTCTGCCCCATAGCCAGCTCATTCTTCTAATATATACCAAATACCACATCTCTACGATCATCTGAACAGAAGAATAAGAAGGCAACAAAACTCACCAACTAATGGACAAGAGCTGAGGCAAGTCATCTTGAAGCAGTGGAGATGAGTTTCTATATTTGTACAGTTATGTAAGATTATTGGGACTAAAGCTGTGGAATTTGTATTACTAAAGTTATGTAGGATTATTAGGACTAAACGTTTAATACATGTGAGTGGTATTGATCTTTAAAGACATAAATGTTGTGTATGTGGTTTTCAAAATAACATGACATAACTTTATTCACAGCTTTTAATGAAACATAAAAGAAATATAGGTTAATTGGAACTTTTTCAGTCTGTGGAACATCTGTGGACACCACCATCACAAAACTGGCCTACTCAGCCACCAGCCCAGCCTTTAACACCCATGATACAGCTGGGTGAGATGGGTTTCTTTAACCAGGCACTGAACCAGAAACTTCTACAGAAGCACAGTGGAGACTTGAATGCTGTTATCTCAGAACTGGTCAGCTTAGAAGATAATGAATGGTTTCAACATCGCCACATTCAACAGTCTCATCCGTCGGCCAGAAGAACGGGGTCAGACAGACGTCCTAGGAGAACTCGTATAATATATAACTCCCACGTTCAATCCTTACAGCCGAACCAACAATCTTCATTTCAGGATTCATTTACTAATCAGATCGATTTTGACTAGAATAAGGTTGATATTGTGTTGTAGGTTGTTCTTTTCTTTTATCTATTATCTCAAAAATTATCTTTACTTTCAAGTAAAACTGTAAAGATAATATATAGCTAATCAAAGATTCTTGACGTTTCTAACTGTGTATTTCTCCGGTGTTTGAGTATAATAACCAGTGTAGTTTTAGCTTTGTAAACAAAGTTTAAGTAAGTTTAGGAGCTCAGAATTGCTCATTTAAATTTCTTTATTGATATTTTTAACCAAGTTACCATGTATTACATGAGTTTCAGGGCTAGTGATTTAGTTAGTAATTAGCAGTTACTTCTTTTCTTAACTGCAGCTTTAAATTTTAAAGACCGGTGCACAGAAATTTGTTTCTTTACTTTTTAGTATTCCTAGTAAGTAAAATTATGTAGGGTGTACTTGGGGAATAGTTTAAGCAGTATGTCAGTGTTTGTTTTAATATAAAACTCTATTCAGGTGATTTTTTTTTGCTTTTGTACAGAGTAAGATAAAACAAGAATCTTTTCAGATATCGCTTTAGTGAGAAAACGATTTGGTGAAATGCATCACATTTTATGTTTGTCTTAAAACCTTTGAATATGTAGATTATAAACTGGAACTAATCTTGTTCAAACCTGCAGTTGATGGGTGTTAGGAATAGACTTGTATAGGATTACAGGGTAGAATTCAGGACTAGCCATCTCATCCAAATTATCAAGAAATAAGGTAGGACGTACCTTTTTAAATTTGCAGGGTTATAGTCAAGACTAACCTTATTCAGAATTCAGGGCTAGCCATCTTATTGAAGTTTAACAGGAAATAAAGTAGGATTAACCTTTTAACCTGTTCAAAATTACAGGGTAGAATTCAGGACTAGCCATCTCATCCAAATTATCAAGAAATAAGGTAGGACTAACCTTTTTAAATTTGCAGGGTTATAGTCAAGACTAACCTTATTCAGAATTCAGGGCTAGCCATCTCATCCAAATTATCAAGAAATAAGGTAGGACTAACCTTTTGACATTTGCAGGGTTATAGTCAAGACTAACCTTATTCAGAATTCAGGGCTAGTCTCTTATTGAAGTTTAACAGGAAATAAAGTAGGATTAACCTTTTAACCTGTTCAAAATTACAGGGTAAATTCAGGATTAGACATTTTATTCAAATTAACAGGAAATAGTAGAGAATTCACTTTTTTTTTTGAACCTGCAAGATATGGTCAGGACTAATCATGTTATTCAATTTATCAAGGAGTAAATCAGAATTTGCGATTGGACTAGTTTTAATCGTACATCTTTGAAGTTGTAAATGTCTTCAATTTATGAATTTAGAAATTATAATACATAAACTTTTGATTAATTCCTGGCTTAGCTTTTGCAATGGCTAATCTAAATAATGCTACGTGAGTCCATTGAGTGCGCCCCAGTCTTCGTCTTCAACAAACGACTGTATGTACGTGCACGGAGGACTCCTTGTGGTCTGTATGCTGGTACGTAATGGAAGTAATTTAGCTAAAATCATTGATAATTACCCATTTAAAACAGACCTAAGTCAGTTAATTAAAGTATACAATACTTTAGTTGTGCTTTCTTATCTGAAGCTGAAATTTCTACTGATTATTACGTGTGCATTAGAATAGAAGTACAGATTAAAAGTAACTGTGTTCATTTCTCTGCAAAATCAGAGCAAATGTTGTGTTGATTACACAGCAGCTGACTTATAAGTAGTTGTTTTTCCTCTTAATATGTCTCATCAGATCTTTATAAACAGCATTAATAAGGTCTTTCTAGTGTTTCGTAAAACCTGTCCATAGAAAGAACGTATCGAGACACAATGGTTTTTATATTAGCATGTTTTTTGTCTTATTACACAACTGGTTAAGATTGGTATACACTATTTTGCTATGTTCTTTTCTGCCTACCTTTCTCTTCAGTAACTTGTGAAGTAATAGAAAAATATACTAATGTATTAGTGGACAATGTATTTTGCATGGATAAAATGAATCGTTAAGCAGTTGATGTTTATTATTCCTTTTTAGTTTTTAAGCTACCATTATGTGTTGCTACTTTTATTACTCAGTGTGATAAAATTATGCTTGAAAATGTAGTTTTCAGTCTTTGTACATCTGTGAATTGTGCACTAATCTTCACTGGCATACTCCAAATTTTGTAGGGGAAAAATTGAAAATCTTGTATGTTTAGAGGATTGGTTGTATAAATGTCTGGGAGCATCCAGTTCAGGATTTTGTTTGACTCTCCATGTAAACAACATAAAGTCACATGATTATCAACATGATTTTCATTTTTTAGAATGTAATGATTGTTTTGAAGGCATTATATGAAATAGGAATGTAATAGAAACTACTACTCTTAGAAATACAGGATTAACATTTTGTTTTTATGTAAGTTTTCCTGTTCTGTTAGGAACAGGTTTAGGAAGTTAGGCTTACTATTCTTGTGGAAAATTTTGCTTTGTTCTGGTGTCAGTGAAGTTTTAAACAGAATATTTCTACACTGTACTAATGGCTAACTTTGACAGGTAACTCAAGATATGATGGTTGTCAAGGAGAAAGTTTAATAATTGTTAGAATGTCTTTGTTACATTTCTCTTTCAAACCCTGAAACTTTTCAAGCTCGCATTTATTCCAATAAATATGTTTACTTAAGGCAGGCCTCGACAAATATTTTCAGATCTAGGAGCCAGGTGTGCCTAACCTAACTTCACTACTATTTATCCCAGGAAATGGGGGCTACATATATTTATTTACTTTCACAGCAAGGAGTGCATGCTAACGATCACACGATATCAACAACCACTTGATAGTGTTGCTTTAACTAACTGCCTTTGGTCCCATCTGAGTCTTAACATGATTGATTAAAACAAGAAATGCTGGATCCTCCATTGAAATCAAAGAAACAAAGTTTGATTTAGGACTTGAAGAACTTCCAAGAGTCCAGAATTGTGCTAGATTTGAGTTCTATTTAACACAGCCCTACACAAAAATAAAATGGGATAAAATACTAGGTGCCAACATGAAATCTTTAGTCGCCATGGTGACCTGGCACCCAGGATTTGTCGAGGTCTGACTTAAGAGTTTTTGTTTTGTTAAAAGAATAAATTGCAAGAACAGTAATGGACATTAGAGTGACTAGTATCTAAAAGTCCTGATAACTTGTTAGAAGGAGGGGCCTCAGCCAGGGTGTCTAAAGTGTTGGGGTTGGCTTAAGATAAAAAATTTTGAAACCCCTGCATTAGTGTATCAAATAAACTTTCAGACTTCAGCTCTTTAAACTAGTGGAAGAGCATAATAAAAGATTTTATTTAATCATAACCAGAGAGATTGTCATTAGTATAGCACAAAATCATTTTACTCCAAAGGAAAAGTCTGTGCAAGTATGAAAGGAAAAATTGAATTTAACGTAATAAGATCAATTTCAAGTATTTTTTATCATATAAAAATGTAATAATTATTAAAGTTTGACTTTTATAATTATAATGTTGCAAGGGTTTTAACAGGATGAAATAGAAGCACTGATAATTTGGTGGAAATATATATAAATAACTCGTAGTAATATTGTTTCATGAAACAGTATTTTAGCCAAGCCACTTCGTTATTAATTCATTCATACAAAGAATCTTAAGTTAGTAAAGCTAGTGATATTTGTAGTTTAAATACCTAAAAATCGTTGAAACACTTAATACCATATTAGTTGAAATACAGAGAATAGGTTGATATTGAAACGTGGTATAACAATGCGACATCTAATGTCTTTATTTATGACCTTAAGAGACCAGGCTTGGACATGTGGTAGCAAACACAGTTATTATAAGTTCTGATAAACTTTAAATAAGATGAGTTAATTGAAATGTGATTATGAATTAATTTTCAAGTGGATAATGACCGAGAGAGTATTCGTGTGTGAAAAATTCTTAAATTGATATATCAGTTATGGATGAAAATGTGTGTAGAGTGTTTTTTAAAATACTGGAATGAAGAAGCTATGATTGTGTGTAAAATACCACAGTGTCAATAAAAGATGTGTTTCTTCTCTTAGTGTCAAGGTATTCTTCATACTATTAATGTAGCACATTCATGATCCAGTTAAGCTGTGGAAGTTCTTCAGAATCACCCACAAGTGTATAACACATCCATGTATAGCCAGTGGGAATTGTGTTCTTGGTCAGCACAGCTTGTAAATTAGGTGGAAATGAATCTGAATGGAATCATTCTTATTTCATTGGATTTACCTTCTGTGATACCAACATATATAACAAGTGGGTCAACTCCTAGTGGCTATACGATAAGTTGGGTTACTCAGTGTAATAGATGTGTTGAGTAGTGACAGTACCAATGTTAATCTTGAATATGAGAATTTAAACTGTAAAGTCTTCATTCAGATGAATTCTGTTAGTGAATATTTATTCTGTAATGCCAGAAAATAAGTTGAGTTTCACTGCTCACAGATGGAAGCACCATAAGTATTGGTGTGTGGTCCACGGGTTACTATAGCAATTTGGTGAGTGTGTTATCCTAGTGTGTGGTTCTTAGTTTAAACTTTTTTTTATGGTCAGGTAATCAAAAGTTGTATGTAATCTGTTATAGTGATCATTTTTTACCTTCATCTTGTGTACACTATCCACGTAGAGGCAGATGTCATATTTAACTACTGGAACATCATTTTAATTTTTACCATTACTCAAAGCCTAGGTTCTCTTTTTGACATTTCAAAAACATTTTGTTGGATAAATCTAAACTCATTTTGAAAGGAATCTCCAAGGTTTCCATACAGACGAAATTGTAAAATGTCCCAAAGTGGTTCAGGTCAGGACTGTGAACAAGTTTATTCTAACTGTATGTGCTTATATTTACCACCAGTAATAGTTCAGGAGTCCATGAATACCTTGTCATATTGTGGGATTCTAGAAGAGAATTTTATATAAAAAAGAAAAGGATTGCATCTCGCCATGATATTGCATCATGTCACGTTGTACATTATGTTTGAAATCTGTCTCTCAATCATCCTAACTACTCACCAGTTTACCATCAAACTAGATCTGGATATAAAAAAAGGGTTAATTCTCCTCATCTTTCAAAGAAATTACATTATTAAAATTAAAAATCTGTCTCTCCATTGCATCTCCTGGAAGAACTGCTTTTCCGTGACCTCACTTGTGGACTTCACTGACATCATGAATAGAATATACACTGTGTACAATTTTTCATACATTCTTAATTCATAATTAGATTGGTTCAAGAAACATAAATCAGAGTAAAAACCTATAAATAAAATAAAACCAAAAAATATTTACGATCACAAAAGTCCCAGCCATTCTACTTCAGGGACACAAAGTGCGTATTTGATTACAACATGTGATTGGATGAGTATTTATTGTCTGTGCTATCCTAAACACTTTAAATGTTGCAAAACTTATTCCACTAATTATTTGGAAGTAATTAGTAAGAGAAACATAAGTAAATGTGTCAAACTAACTCTGGAGCCTTACCACATTGTCACAATTCATGTCGCTATGTCCAGTCATGCTCTGTCTGACAACTGTAAATCTTGACAGTTTCCCTGCAGTGTAGTTTCCATTGAAAAAGGGTGCATCATAAGGCTGTCATGTCCAAAGCACACCACTTATCGATTGCTTTCCATAATCCATCTAGTGCACATGGATGATGGTTTTCTACTGTCTATTTCAACAGTCTGTTCACACACAAATCCATGGGTGCTATGTCTGGTGACTTGACTAGTATATCTTTGTATAGAATAGCATGAATATCTGTGTCCTTCTCTGGCTGCTTGTGGTGAATCCTTACCTTGCTGGCCACTTTTCCAGATGATTATCCTTTATTTGTTTCATACTGTTGCCTGGGATATGTGGATGGTTTTTGTCACTGACCTTTGTGTTTGTGGATTCTAATACACTGCTTACTATAGCTGAGATACAAATTGTTACAGGTCTCTTTCTGGATGGTCTTGATGTATTAGGTTGATTCATATTTCATTGTTTTCCAATGCCATTTAGTAAAATGGATATCCAAGTCTTGGAAATTCTAAATCCTCAATCTGTACACATCTTTATGATCTGTGTGAATGAATATTTTTCTGTTACGTATCCTTTCCAAAAGTGATCAATTTTCAGTGGCATCACGCTACCACAAAACACCAAACAATGTTAACATGTAGTTCTGGTACATTTCATTTCAACATGGGGTTGCTGATTTGCATATTCAAAATCATTTTAATATAATTTGTAATAGTTCTTGTTAATGACTTAACATTATTATGAAGATTTTAATACATAACATTATTGTCCTTGCAATAATATAAAAATACAATCCTTCTGAGAAGTCTCAAATTGCACATAAAATTTCCTAAAAAGGACTGACACGTACATATTTATGAGTCTTTCACCATGTTAGTCAGTTTTTAATTTTTAAAAAGAAACAGTTGGTTGCCATTAATTCTTGAAAACACCTTGTTTTTATATGTTAGAAATAAAACAATTGAAATATACTCACAAAACAAAACAACGAGAAGAAAAACACATTTTACCATTTTATGCATATACAACAGAATTAAGAGTAATAGTTTGTTAGAAAATAGCACAGTTAAAAACTCTGTCTCTAATTAAATTTACTTTCTTCACTACAAAACTTACATCAGTATTTTGTAATAAAGTAAGAAACATTAACATGAAGCTTTAAAATATTCCCTCCCATATTCTTAAGGAATATTTAAAAACCACTAGAAAAAAATAAATAATTTTTGAAGATAATACAAAACACTAATATAAATTATAAAACAAAAATTGAAAAATTTATTTTCATAAACATACACTACACACATGTGGGGGTTACTTAAGTTGTAATGTCAGAGATATAATCATACAATGTTGAATTTGGTAGATCAACATATATTACACACATGTGGGGATTACTTAAGTTGTAATGTCAGAGATATAATCATACAATGTTGAATGTGGTAGATCAACATACATTACACACATGTGGGGATTACTTAAGTTGTAATGTCAGAGATATAATCATACAATGTTGAATGTGGTAGATCAACATACATTACACACATGTGGGGATTACTTAAGTTGTAATGTCAGATATGATCATACAATGTTGAATGTGGTAGATCAACATACACTACACACATGTGGGGATTACTTAAGTTGTAATGTCATAGATATGATCATACAATGTTGAATGTGGTAGATCAACATACACTACACACATGTGGGAGTTACTTAAGTTGTAATGTCAGAGATATGATCATACAATGTTGAATGTGGTAGGCCACTATAAAATTTTCTTAGTTCTCTAGTTCTGAAGTAAGATTCTTAGTGTTATAATTATTATTATGAACTTGAGTTTGTTCACACTTCATCTGCTGAAAATAGAGCAAGTTCAATGAAAATAGGTATAAATGGAAGAGACAGAGCTCAACAGTAGTGGTAGTTAACTAGCCAAAGGTTAATTAGTAAATTCAGCAATTTTGAGTAGTTCGAATGGCTAGTGAAAATTTCAGTAGACCAGACATTTCATTGCTTACAAAATAATACCCACATGCATCACAGCCTAGAAACTATTGCTATATTTGTGTTCTTGGTTTTTTTTCCTATATCTTATTTTTGGAATTTCATAAGTTAATTCACGCAGCTACTAAAAGCTAAGACGTTGTTCTTTTCGGCTAATAAAATCCCCAATTGTCAAATTTTGTCTGAATTAAAACTTAACTAAAGCTATCAGCTCCCTATCGCTAATCTTTGGAGAAAAAAAAATATAATTAAAGAAAGGTGATTATTTTATAAATTTATCTTTTTAGCTGCAGCATTCAACAACACATCAGTTTTGCATTTAATTAACTTTCTTCAAGAAACTGAATATGTTCTACCACTGGCTCTTTTCCATGACGGGCTAGTCGATTTCTGACATTACCAGCCTGGTGATTTACTACAAAAAACATGTTAAATTCTAAGCTTTGAGAGACCCAAGATAAACAGAAATAATTGTAATTCAAGTTTCTTCTGAAGGTTAGCCAATAGATAAAGGTCACACTACTATACAAGGTAACAAAATAATATGCTTTGGTAGTTTTACATATATCTGAATGTTTTGTTATATTTTTTTCAGGCTATGTCATTGGTCAACTCTTTAATCCCTTCATTTCTGTCAATTGAATTAATATATTGTAACACTACATTTATCTCCAGCCGTTTCAAAACTTTTAAACTGAAAACTAAAGAATGATCAATGATTATCGAACCGTCTAATACAAGACACTTTCCGTATTTCAATTCTCATTATTACAGGCATGCTATAAACATATCACTTGCTGCCATTCTTAAAAAAACCTTTCTTTCACCTTTTGCTGGATGAAAACTACTTTTTTAGAGTAACCAAATGTACACGTTTTTAGAAGCATGAATATGGTCCTTTTTTATATCTTTCAATCAGCTGAAGTTCTAACTAATTACTCCTAAATTTGTTGGTTATAAAAACAAACATTCTGATATCAAACTTCCTATATAGGTTTAAAAGTCCAGTCAAATCTTTTTAATTTTTACTAAAGATTCTGTATAAGTATTTAAAATATTATATTTGTAAAACTAGACATACATTTTCAAAACACATAAGATAACTATAAAGTATTTTTGATACTCGCACTCCAATTTGATAAATGAACTTCAAAACTGGAAGTTTTGGTAACTTAGGTGCATCACTTACCAATGGTAATAAGATGGTAATTACAAGCAAACAAAAAGGTTATAAAATAACCCAATATCAGATCATGTGCCCAGAAATGCCTGAAGTATCCTAAACTTGAAGGAATAATCTTAATCCAGAAACTTTAAATAAATTTGGACAAGTAACTAAAACTGCTACTTGTGTCATTTTGTACAAAATTTAATATCAAGTTTGTTGACAACAATACCATCAATGAAAAAAATTGTCAGGTTTTAAAGTAAACATCAAGAATTGGTTTTGTCAGTTTAAAGATATTGTAAATATTAATATAAAAGTTGTAGATATAATTTAGATGTATTTATAACACATTAAAGTTCTAAAACATACATATATGATGTAAATGTATTCTGCATCGTTTCAATCATATATTTATGATGCAAATGATGTTGAATTCATTTGCATGTGTAACATAACCTGCATGTGTAACATAACCTGCATGATACTTCCTACAGTCTGTGTTGTATCCTTTGAAATTTACCATTTTTTCTTTTTATAAATATTCAATAAATTATAAATCTATTGAATTTAGATTTTTGAGAATTTCTAGTTTAAAACCATGCGAAAATAAGTGAACAATGATGAAGCAAAAAAAAATTAAAGATGTATAACGAGAAGCTAGGATGTAATCAGGCAAAACTTGGATAACAAAGTGCATATTTACTATGGTCTTCATTTATAAAATGATTTTAAAGAACAATAGTTTAACTAGGAATTATATTTGCTTCAACTACTTTTCTCGCTTTAGCTTATAGTTATTTTTTTTCACCAATTTCCATCTAATGGTTTGTTCAGTTTAGTAATTTTATATAGAATATGATACAAGATACATTTTAATGATTTAAAAGTTTCATGTTTTATTTTATTCCCAAACTACTAGATGTCATGAAATTTTATAATTTCTGCTACAAAAAACAACAACAAGAAACATTTTTACCAACTAATGACTATATAGATATTATCATTGACATTATGGATGTATTTTGTGTAGAAATATTTTGCTCTAAGCATTAATGTACTACAGTAAAAATACAATTAACCTTTAATTTAAAATTAAGGATAATTTTCCTTATCTCTAAATAAAAGCTAGAATGTTGAATAAACATTTAGTTACAATGTATGTCTTTTTTTATAATTTTTTCAACAATATAAATGTAACCTTTCATGTCATCATCCAAAAACGTGAACACGTGATTTTTGGAGCTGTTCAACCATTTGACTGTATAACCTTGCACTTTTTCAACAACGTGAGCTTATGGGCTCTTTCAGTTGTTAAACCATAAAAAGGTATAACCTTTTAGTTATTTAGCATAGTGAACTCATGACCTTTTTCAAATGTTAAACCATACATATATATACAATCCAGTAATCTACCGTTTGAACTAATAGTTATATAGTAAGTTTGTGTGTGCTTTAGCTAAGTTATTGAAAGTTAAAGTAAATGTCAATTGGCTATATATATATATATATATATATATATATGTGTGTATGTATGTATGTATGATATTTACAATTAATGATCAAGTGAAACAAGTAGGACTCTGAATATACTTCTATAAACATATGGTTTCTCGGGTAGGCCTAGTATTTTGTTTCATCTCTCTTTTTTTCAGGTGATCAATAAAAACTGTCTAGTATGAAGCTTACAGTGCCAACATACAGAACATGGACATACTGAAGTTTTAATTTTTTTACTTATCTAGATCTGAACACACATAAAAAGTGTAAAGGTGAATTAGACAGTATACACACATCCTCAACCAACTGTCCAAGTTAACAAATCCATGTATCATATTCATTGGTTTTTGTGAGGTGTGACAATTTTCTCTAATCAGCTTCTTCTTCTTCTTCTTCATCTCCGTACTACAACAAAACCTTTTAAAAACCTTCCTGAAATATTTAGCGCACATATTACCCTGATACTCCAGGCCAACTTGTTTAAAGTTACAAGTATTTTTTTATAAATCACCCCATGGAACTATCTACATTAAACATATTTTTTCTGTGTTAAACCAACATTTTTTAAGCAATTTCCTCTATCAAGTTTTAGACAGCAAGCTATTCTAGTAACTTTCCCCAACAATTTATCTTCAGTTCTTTTGTGTTTTATTCTGCTACAAGATCCTCGGTAAGTCCATAAGAGTGCTGATGAAAACTTCTGGTGCTACCTGGCCTATTCTTAATATCAACTGCCCAGACCCTCAGACCTCCTCCGTTGAAACAGTTACATAGGCAAATTTAATAAATAATAAAGAGAGTGGTAAAGGTTACAACATCCGTTTTTCTTCACGTCTGAAAAAAAAAATTAATTATTTGAAAATTACATTATTTTCATAAGTAATCAATTTTATATTTCTGTTTTTCGACACATGTCAGGTTTCTTCATGAAGTAATTTCAACTTAAAAGAAATTTTATTTTTTGGACAATAATTACAATTTTTAATTTCACATAGAGCAATACCTTTAATTTTTATAAAGATAAGTGAGATAAACTCTTTTTAGAATAAAAACAACAACTAACTCTTCTAGCAGTTAGCTATACCATTTCAAAGTATTAAGACTTTCAAATATTTGTGTTTTGGGTAGCATGTACAAGACATTCTGGTGATAATTTGTTTTGTTTTGTTTTTTAAAATGAAAAGAACGTGTAAAAAACAATGAAAAAACTGAAAAATTATCTAAAAATAAAAACATTAATTGGTGGAAAGATAAATAGAAGGATTCCAAAAGATTCAGAGATGATGCATTATAGTGGTAAACTCAGCTGCCCCTAGCAACCAGAGATCTAATATTCTTTGTACAAGAACAATAAAGTTAGTAATATTTCTCTTCTAATAAGAGTGACACTGATCATTTTATCAGGAAAGTAGGAGTCTCAATATTTATTTTCAACAAATGAATAACAAGATACCTATTGTCAGACAAGTTGGTTTCTAAATTCTTTCTAAACAAAAGAGCGGCAAGTAAAATATAGAAAGTGCTTAAACTTTTTTTATTCTTTCTTGTCGTTTCTGAATTTTTCTCTTTGAAATGTGAAGTTGGTGGTTAAAGTGCTAAAATAAAAAGATGTAGCTGGTGCTACGTCTGTACATCTTTTTAAGGTAATTTCAACAAAACAAAGTATGTGAACTAATATGCTGAGAAATAAGACTTAATTAAACTAAATGTTAAATATAAAACACTATGTAAACTAAGCAGATTTATATTTTTACTAGGTGTAATGTACTTGAAATATTACATGGCAGAGAAGGTTATACTGATCAGGGATTTATAGGAACTGCTGTAAACTTACCAGTACTCTGTTGGTGAATTATCAGAAGAATCCTTCCTCTGTCGCTTAGCTTTGTTAGTTTCTCCATCTGAAGATGTAGAATCCTTAGTTTCAGCTAGCTGAGTTTTCATTTCAAAAGTTTTTTCAGGCAAGTATTTCTTTATCAGATCACAAAAATATGCTTCAATTATCTTGCCAGCATTATACAGTGTAGATCCTTCCTGCATCAGGAACAGTTTAAAATGTTTTTAGTGTATCTTTAATAAAGTTTCTGGTAACAAAATAAAAAGAAGATCACTACAAATTAGTGTGTAACTCATTATCTTAAAAATATTATGCTAAGCCTAAGTCCCCGAAGTACAATTAAGACTTTAAAATATTTTATGCTTAATATTTGAATCTGTGTTTTATCTCAACTGATGAAGTGGAATGTACACATAAAAATGAAAATAACAAATTTTGTTCCATAATTATTAATGTCAGTGACCACTGATGGAAGAAAGTTAATTCTATAGATCAGAACTAACAAATAACTTAAGAAGTTTTACCTGTTTCTTATAATTCAACTTTATAATACAGAGTTAAAGATCTTTTAATGTCTTATGCTTTAGCTCAGTATATGCGAGAGTGGGTATGAATTTCTGATTTTTCTATAACTTACAATAAACACTACTATAAAAATATCAAATTGTTCTCCCTTTTTGTGGTTTGATAAATTTCTCTTGTTTTTAAACGATAAGTATGAGGGTATTTTTGAATGTATATATACATATATATATATACACAAACACTGATCTTTTATGAATATAGGCTTAAAGATTTCTTGACTATAGTTTACAACTCGATATTAGATTCTTATCCTCAAGAATGCAGTCGTAATTTACATTAAGTTTTGACGCTCACAACAGAAGAACGGATGTTAAAGTTATGACATCCTATGTAACTGTAGTATGACAAAGCTAAGACTATAATGTGATCCTAAAATTCCAGTACAACCTTTATATACAGATAAGATCTTTAAAGGTATGTGTACCCTTTCAACACAGACTACTCCATTTAGAATAACAAACACTTGTTAGAACATGAATCTGAAAAGATTGGAGACATTTCCTACAACAGTCTTCATTTATTAGTTTAACTGACACAATTGATGAGGGTATTGTGCATCACCTAACATACAAAGATTGTAAAAATTCAGTATAAAGCTGCTACTTACTGGATTAAAGACAAAACAGTTGCTGAAGATAAGACGAGTATCCGAGATGAATTCCTCGTCATCTTCATAATGGTTAAAATGATTGGGAGAAAGTTTTTGTTTGATAGTCAGCAAGTCCATAGGTTTAGTAATAACCTTGTAGTAGTTGGGTACTTGCTGGATAGAAAAACAAATCACCATTATGTAGCTACATAAAAATTATAATAATAACTAGGGGTATTAAACACATTATTAAAGAGAAATACACATTACTTCTTGACAAGACAGAAATACTGACAACTGAAGTATTGTGCCAAAATCTTAAATAATATGCCCCTACTGACTACATTTAGAAAACAGTAATGATAAATTAACAATCACACACTGAACTATGAAGACTGATATATTTGTAGAATGACAAACTAACAATCACACACTGAACTATAAAGACTGATATATTTGTAGAATGATAAATTAACAATCACACACTGAACTATAAAGACTGATGTATTTGTAGAATGATAAATTAACAATCACACACTGAACTATAAAGACTGATATATTTGTAGAATGATAAATTAACAATCACACACTGAACTATAAAGATTGATATATTTGTAGAATGATAAAATAATAATCACACACTGAACTATAAAGATTGATACATTTGTAGAATGATAAATTAACTAATCACACACTGAACTATAAAGACTGATATATTTGTAGAATGATAAAATAATGATCACACACTGAACTATAAAGACTGATATATTTGTAGAATGATAAAATAATGATCACACACTGAACTATAAAGACTGATATATTTGTAGAATGATAAAATAATAATCACACACTAAACTATAAAGACTGATATATTTGTAGAATGACAAATTAATGATCACACACACTGAACTACAAAGACTGATATATTTGTAGAATGATAAATTAATGATCACACACTGAACTATAAAGACTGATATATTTGTAGAATGATAAATTAACAATCACACACTGAACTATAAAGACTGATATATCTGTAGAATGATAAAATAATAATCACACACAAAACTATAAAGACTGATACATTTGTCAATGACTATTAATGAAGTTAACTGCAAGACATCTTATATAGCTTAATGAACTACTAATAAACTGCTATGCACAGTCGTAAAACAAGAATTTTCCACTGTATGTTACAGCAAACAATGTTCAAGAAGAAATGAAGAGTGTTATATGTATATCAGATACTCACACTATCCTGTATTGGTACAGTTTTACATGTAGTCACAATCTTACACTGTCCAGAAACAGTTAAAATGTTATATCTAGTCACAGTCTTACACTGTCCAGGAACAGCTGAAATGTTATATATAGGTACAGCCTTACTCCATCCATGCAATAGTTAAAATGTTATATCTAGTCACAAACACCATCCAGAAACAGTTAAAATGTTATATCTAGTCACAAACACCATCCAGGAACAGTTAAAATGTTATATCTAGTCACAATCATACACTGTCCAGGAACAGTTGAAAGGTTACATCTAGTTACAACCTTACACCATCCAAGATAGATGAGAAATGTCAAATATAATCACACCATCCAGGAACAAGTGAAGTATGCTATATGTAGTCACAAGGTCATAATTCGTTTTGACTGACACATGTGGTGTTGTAAGCAACCTCACACACTTAATGTTCAGGAAATATAAATGAATTTTATATATAGTCACAACTCACACATCCTGGAACTGGAGGAGCTTCTTATAGCATTACAGATTTAAAGTTTTTATAGATGGGTAACATGTTATAAGCAATCAAATACAATCAATATTCAGTAAAGTAACATAAGTCACAAAACTCAACACTAGATGTTTTTGTAAGGTGTAGAGCATAAAGTCACAGAACCTAATGATAAAAGAGAAAAGAAGTCAAACAACTCTATCACCTAAAAGTGTTAACTGGAGGAATAAATCTAAACAATCAATATAATAACATGAAACCATCTGAAAACAGCAGTCTCAGGCTTGGATGTAAGAGAACAGGTAGAAGTAAAGATGCATATACTTCTAGTATAATTAGACTATTATAATAATGATACTCTTTTTTGTCTGTTCTTACTATCTAAATGCACTTCCTCATTTTGACGGATGAAAATATACTTTAGTATACATTTTGTACAACATATTAAAGGCTTATCAAAGTCTTTAAAAAGGACTAACGTTAGGCCGTAGAATAACATTATAAGATCATTTATTGATAGGATTAAATATGTTAAAGTTTAGCCCTAACTAAACTAAAGCAAAAAATGTATACAAGTTACAGTGCTAATTTATCTCTTTGTCAAATATAGACTGTACTTAATAAAGGCTTAACTAAAGTTAGGCCTAAGACAAGTGGACTTATAAATTTTGGTGTCTGCGATTATAGTTCTTACGTATTCTTCTAGAAAAACCTGTATTTAAAAAAGTACAATTACAATAAAGACACTAATAACACATGCAAACATTTTGTGGGTCTCTGCTAGTATATCAACTCACAGTCTTGCTAACTGGTTCATGGAAGGGTAAGCTGGCTTCATGACAAAGGAGTTCCAACAATATCTTTTCACAGCACTGTAACAGCGAGAAAGATAATCTCATAAAATATGGGTTTCAGCAAAAATAGATTACAAAAAACCTATGTATATTAAATAGAAATGTGCTTATACTTCCTGAACAATAATGTAGAAGAACATTTTTTATGCTTATTTTTTTTTATTTTGATTAACACAGATGAGTTCCATCTTGATAAAATAAGTCAGGATGGCTTATATCTGGTCATTTAATGTTTCACACATCTTGTTGGGAAGTTTGGCTTATATCTGGTCATTTAATGTTTCACACATCTTGTTGGGAAGTTTGGCTTATATCTGGTCATTTAATGTTTCACACATCTTGTTGGAAAGTTTGGCTTATATCTGGTCATTTAATGTTTTACACATCTTGTTGGGAAGTTTGACTTATATCTGGTCATTTAATGTTTCACACATCTTGTTGGGAAGTTTGGCTTATATCTGGTCATTTAATGTTTCACACATCTTGTTGGTAAGTTTATGGTCAGAATAGCCTAAGTCTTCTTATTTAATGTTTCACATATGTTATTGGGCTGTTTATGGTCAGGATGGCCTATTTCTCATCAGTTATTGGTTCACAAAGTGTTTGGATAGTGTATGGTCGGGATGGCCAAATTTTGTTATTTGATGTTTCACATAGTTTTTTTGACAGTGGTCAGGATAGCTAATTTCTTGGAATTCAGTCTTATTACAAATAGCACTGTAGTTATCTCTTAGCATTACCCTGGCACAAAGAAAACTGAAATATAAGAGGAAACAGAGTAGATTCATTTTTTATCTTCATTTAATAAGGAGTTTTGGCTCAATTTGTGCATTTTATGTATATAAGACATCAATACAAAAGTGCTGACACAAACTTTTAAGTAGCTTTATTGACAATTCTGAAAGTATAATATAGCCATACCAGTAGGTCACGGCCAGAAAGACCCACTGGATTTTTCCTCTTGCTTCCACTGGACTCTCGAAGAAATGATGCATTTATGACATCTGTACACATGAGGCAGGCCCAGTCCTCACTACAAGACAAAAAAATCTAATATTTTAACAATTATCAGGTGTAAAAATTCTGTACAATATACTTGATATTTGTCCTTAACTCTAGCAGTGTTATAAGTGTACAAGCTCAAAATGACAACACGTAGAAAGTATTAGAACAGTTATACAGTAACATGAAAGACCTCATCAGTTAACCCGATCCGCTATCATCAATATGTCAATGTACAAGTCTAAACAAACAAGGTCTAAAAGAAACAAATACAGTCATAAGTCCATCTGGAATATAGCATTTGTTACCTGGATTCACCATCGACAATATCTAGAATACAATTATAATACACAAATATAGTGCCAAGATCATCTGAAATACAGCATTTGTTACCTTCAGTCATCATCAACAATATTTAGAAAAATAATTTATTAATGAAATCTAGTTTCAAATAATCAAAAACCTTTGCTTTTCTTCCTAAACTTGACAGGTAACATAGCTTACAAATACAATGTTTTGTTTGTTATTAAGCACAAAGCTACATAATGGGCTATCCGTGCTGTACCCACCATGAATATCGTACGCCAAAAAGAATTTTACATAAGGAATATGAAAACAAAGTTACCTCTGTATTTTGAGAAATGATTTTAGTTACTTATCTAAAATTAAAAATAATTCTGGACTTCTGATAATTTATGGTGGTTAAAAAAACACTACAAAAAGCGCAGAACTATAGTGGTCTACATATGTTACTGGTAGATAAGATTACTGGTGTTTAATATGTTTAGTGCTTACTTTGGAGTTGTTAGGAGAGCAGGAACATGACAATTAAGATGATATACTCGAGGGCAGTTGCTACAACACAACAATTCTCCTCCGTCATGACAAACTGCACACCAGTCTTCATTAGGATCATCTTGATGATGAGTTTTTTCTGTGGTTTTTTTATCAGAAGTGGACAGCTGCTTTTCTTCTTTGCCATTGATAAGTGTTTTAGTGATAACAGCCACTGCATCTTTCACAGGTGGTGGTTTTTCTTCTGAAGAAGGTTTCATTTCCACTTTTGAAATTTCTAACCCACTGCTATTGACTCGCACTTCGCTCACTGTTAATCCACTACTGCTAGTTTTTAAAAGATCTTCCAAAGATTGTAGGTCATCTAAAAGTGATCTGCTACTGTCTTCAGAGCTTGGATTCTCATTGTTTATCTCCTTTGGACTATCATCAATCTTTTCTTTCTTGATTTTAACAATTGGCAACATCATGTCATCTAACTTTTCTTTTTTTATCTTCACTTTTAAGATTTTTTCAGATGATGAAGAGCTCTCATTTGAAATTCTTCTGACAGTCCCCTGAGATTCTGTCCTACTCTTTTCACCAACATCTTTTCTAGTTTCTTCTTCAGAATCTCTCCTGTTTATCTCCTTAAACTCTTTTCTACTTGACTCGGAAGAATCTCCTTTACTTGTGTCCTGAGATTCACTACAGTTCGTGTCCTGAGAATCCCTCCTATTCACCTCTTCAGGTTCTGTTCTAGTTGTTTCCTGGGATTCTCGCTTGCTGTCCTCATCAGATTCTCTCTTGTCTAACTCTTTATTATCTTCATTACTCTTCTCTACCTCATCCTCTTTGGAACTATTTGTCTTATCACTGTCCTCACCACTGTTAGCTGGCTTGTCTTCAACATTAGTTTCTTTGACAGGGGTATCTTCAGTTGTAAAAACAGATTCAATTCCACTGGTTACTGACACAATAATGGGGTTTGAGGTGGGAGGCTCTGGAACTGGGTCATCATCAATAGTAACCACAGGAACAGGACTACTGCTGCTATCAGCAGCCAGTGTTGAACCCTAAAAAAGTTCAATTTGAAATACTTATGAAGAGTAAAAGTAGTGAACATTTTACATTTGATTTATTGAAGCTTCATAGTTTAGTACAAACTGGCAGGAATATATCAAGTTTTCATATTCTAGATCCTGAAATAAGCTGTTCCAAGACTGACAGATAAAAATTGAATCTCAACTTTTTCTTCCCAATTACTTTTATGTTTCATTTGGGTTCACATACACAGGTAAAGATGGATAACACAACAGTAAGTTTAACAGCTTTATCAGAATGTTTCACATCTTAATCAAAAAGTTTGATGTCAGAATTATGCAGAAACATCAGTATACCAAAAAGAAAATCAAACTAAAAAAGAAATTATATGTTTTAGCAAACATTTCAATCTGATCATCTGTTGACCAAAGTCAAATAAAAACATTTGAAATGTTTTTTCAAACTGAGCAACCATTAAAAAGTTGTGAAAAGTGAAGAGAGATTTATAAACAAGCTTCTTAGAATCTCCCAAACGACTAATAAGAAAGTAAAGGAATGTTTATTCATCAAGTCAAACTTTAGCATAGCTAAAGAACAGTCAAGACATCTAGTGGTAAAAGTCATAAACTACTGTTTATTAACTACAAATAGTCACTACACTGGATATATATACATACACATATTACTTACCCTTCTGCCTTCATTTCTGGTTGTCAGGCTTATTGAGTCATCCTTTGACTGCAAAAAAAAAGTTATAATTTTCCATCTTATAATTGAGAAAAAAAAATGTTTGAATAAAAGTCCTGAGTGTCACTGTTAGCAATGGCTGTTAATTCTATGGTATAGAAAATCGTTATTTGAGATGTTTTTAAGTATTTCTTCTAGAAGTGTTATGTTTATGATTCAGACACCCAGAGACATAATAGAAATTTCCAATTTAGAAGTGTTATGTTTATGATTCAGACACCCAGAGACATAATAGAAATACAAATCTAGAAGTGTTATGTTTATGATTCAGAAACCCAGAGATATAATAGAAATACAAATCTAGAAGTGTTATGTTTATGATTCAGAAACCCAGAGACATAACAGAAATGAAAGTTTGAAATGTTTTTATTAAATTATTTATGTAATAAACCAGATAAGTATTATATAATGCTAAAATACCAAGTGTGCAATATTTCTGAGTATCTTAATTACAATAACAGGTTAGCCCAAGCTTATTTTGAGTGATAAATTATGATGATATAACTAAGTTATAAGGAAACTATATATAAATTTTTTTCAAAATATTCAACTTTTTCTTTTCTCCTGAAAACAACAACAACCTGACAATCCCCAAAGGGGATTAGAAACTAATTATAATAAACTTGATTACCAAACACACCTTTTATTGATTATATATTTTGTTGATACCGTATCGCACGTTCCTTTATCTTTCTCATCTTTGAAAACACTTTCTACGAGCCTTGCACATTTTTAAACCAAAAAACATGCACCACGCTCGTTTACTCTCACCTTTATTTCCGATGATCCTTCATCTGCTGTCCCTTTATCTTCATCTTTTAAAATACTTCCTATAGATTGATTTGCAAATTCACTCTGAAGAATTAAAAAAAATGTTGAGTTACTTTTCCTCTAAAAAAATTAATTTATACTCTCATTAAATCGCATTAATACATATACTACATTTTTCCCGGTAATTATCGTGCCGTATATCAAACTACACTAATTAATTAGTAGTATTATATGTAATACATAAACAAAATTCAGTCACTATTGTGATAAACAAAATACTGTTTATCTGTAACAAGAAAGCATGTCAAATCTTACTATTACTAGCAAATGAATGAATGTTTGAATCTCTCCAGAAATATCTTCTAGAAATTTCTTTATCAAAACTATAATTTTTCTTAGAGCTAAATTTTCAGCTGTTTCCTTTACTTGGTATCTGTAGTTCGAGCTTCTTTGTTGCCAGAAATTAACTTTTATTACTGAGACTACTGACAGTTTAGAACCAAACGTTTTTATAATTTTTTTTAAACTGTTAATAACAAAAAAAAAGCTGAAATTCCTTAATAGATATAAATATAATGAATATAAACTACTTCTGAGACAAAATATGAGCATTAGACCGTGCAAAGACTAGTTTTTAACTTGGGAAATGGAATCTGCAACACCCACCAAGATTCTTGAAGCAGCGTCAACGATGGATTCTTCCTTGGGAGGGCATCCTTGAATGCTACAGGAAGGCATCTGGTCAGCTGGAGATTTGGCTTCATCCTTAATAAGAACACTACCCCCAGAAGTTCTGGAAACAGATACAAAGAAATAAGAAATCATTATTTTTAAACTTTACTAAGAAAAGGAAATATCACTGGGTTTTTAACTCTGTATAATTAAGAATCTTTACACACATCCTATTTATGATTAATCAATTCCAGTAATATATGTGTGAAGCATTTATATATATATATAAATAATTAATGCTGGTATATATATAAAAATAGGGTAACTCTGGTTCGAGAATAAATCAGTGAGGTACATAAAATCTTGAGAAAAATGATTCTACCTATAAACAGTAATGTAGTCACAATCCATAACTTATGAACAGAGCAAACTACCTAAACAGATGAAAACTAAAAATTAATCCAATAAATAACGTAGCTAATTTAATACAACCAATCCAATTTGAAGTATACAATGTCATAAAATAAAATTTTATAAAGAGTAGAATGCTCTACAAGTCATAGGTTACTAACATTTTCAAATGTATATTATTCTACCAAAAATTAACTGGTCTTGAGACTTTGATTAGACTAAATAAAGGTACCACTAACATGTTAAAGAAGAATCCTACAAAAACATGCAAAATATAAATGTCCATATGAAACACAAAACTAATGTACAAAACAAAAAACAACCGGAAGTATGGAGTAAGATCCAGGTGTGAAATTCTGCCATTACTCACCAGTACTGAGTACTGGAACCTATTTTTTAAGACGGTATTAGTACTGGAACGCATGTATCATGTTCAAGTTATTACTACGTTCGTAAGGGTACCCACGCATGTATTGTGTTCAAGTTATTACTATGTTCGTAATGGTAACCACGCATATAGTGTTCCTTTAAGTTATTACTACGTTCGTAATGGTAACCACGCATGTATTGTGTTCAAGTTATTACTATGTTCGTAATGGTAACGATGCATGTATTGTGTTCAAGTTATTACTACGTTCGTAATGGTAACGACGCATGTATTGTGTTCAAGTTATTACTATGTTCATAATGGTAACCACGCATGTATCATGTTCAAGTTATTACTACGTTCGTAAGGGTAACCACGCATGTATTGTGTTCAAGTTATTACTATATTCGTAATGTTAACCACGCATGTATTGTGTTCAAGTTATTACTACGTTCGTCAGGGTAACCACTCATGTATTGTGTTCAAGTTATTACTACGTTCGTAAGGGTAACCACGCATGTATTGTGTTCAAGTTATTACTACGTTCGTAATGGTAACCACGCATGTATTGTGTTTTTTATATTTTTTCGTTTTTTATATTTACACACAGTTTTTTTTCTTTTTAAAAACCAGGTCCACTTCACCCAGCTGAATACCTCTACTTTTTTTTTTGAGAATTCCACCCCTGGTGAGATCCATATCAATAATCAGATTTACATTAATGATGATGTAACCACGGTTACATTCAGGATCTTAATTACAGATTACATTAAGGATGAAGTAACCATGGTTATATTCAGGATTTTAATACTGGGAATGTGGATATAATTTGGATTTTAATAAACAAAGGAGCACAAAGCTTAAGAACATACAATTTTGGTGTTTATAAACAGAGAAGCACAAAGCTAAGAACATACAATTTTGGTGTTTATAAACAGAGGAGCACAAAGCTAAGAACATACTATTGTGGGTTTTATAAACATAGTAGTACAAGGCCAACAATATATAATTTTGGTTTTTATAAACAATGGTAATCAGATTAAGCAGGAAATATATCCTTCGTTATAATTTTTTTTTTTCCTTTTGTGGTTAACGTGTTAACAGTAAATAAAGAAAATATTTCTTTCCACAACAAAAAATTTATTTCCAGAATCCTTATGATTATTTTCTGTTCTTTCATAGTTAATGTGCTAACAACTTTTTAACCTGTTTTGAGAGGAGATAAACTAACACTGAACAGACTTACCCATCATGACTTTGAACTGTTGTTGTTGGGGGTGTTGTTAGGCTAACACTGTCTGGAGTTGTCCTGTGTATTGGACTTGGCACCGGATTTATAGTTGTTGCTGGTACTATGTACGGTGGTAGTGTGTTGGTACTTGGTGCACCTATAAAACAAAATAGTTCAAATTAAATACTTAAATAATAATAATAATATCCCAAACACTAAAGCAGGAGGACTGGTAAGATTAATGATTGAAACTCAATATCATTATTAGAATTCAATTATTAACTCAGTGAAACACGTGGAAAAAAAATAATGCCATTAGGTCAATGGGATCAACCAAAAAAAAAAAGCTAAACACTTCCAGTTTGTCCAGAGAAAGTGCTGTTGTTTAAATGAAAAAGGTGTTTTGCATATGTAAATAATACGATTATAAAAGTATAGCGTGTTTGACCCCTCTAACCGTAATGGAATCTCACACATATATATATATATTATATCTGAATATGTTGACTTATTACAGTATTTAAATAATACGATTATAAAAGTATAGCATGTTTGACCATTCTGACCGTAATGGAATCTCACATATATATATATATTATATCTGAATATTTTGACTTATTACAGTATTAGTTATGGAAAAATAAATCTACTAATTAAAAAAGTAAGACACATAATTTTCTCATCATTTACAATACGATCAAAATTTTGCATAATCTTCAACTGTTACTTCTACATTGAAAGACAATGTACAATGTGTCAATAAACATTTTATACCAACCATTAGGTCTGTTAGGTATGTGATGCATAACAGGTGATGAATGCATGCGGTTGTCATGCGAAGGTTGATGATTCATCCTTTTGACAGAAGAAGCGTGTTCTGAGGGGAAGTGGCTTAACCTTGACGTATTTGACATATTACGGGTGTGCGCCGAGAGAGAGGTCGTTACAGGTGCAGGATCATCATCTATAACAATCACTTGTGAGGGCGACGGCTGACGAGGTGCTGGGTGAGGCAATATCTGCAGCCCTGGTGGGAGGTTCGGTGTTGAGAGAGGAAGAGACTTCTGTTGGTTGGACTGGGAATTTGTTCGAGGAACAATTGGTCTTTGGCCTTGTGCTTGACTGCTACAAGAGTCAAGATTATTACATATCGTATATTAACTGTATTCAATTTTAAATAACTCACATCAAATCGGTTTTACACAAAACCACAGATTAAAACATAACAGTGTGTGAGAGAATCTGAAAAAACAGCAGTCAATTAACTACTACCAGAAACGCTTAACCAGAACTAGAGTGCAACATCTAACAAACACTGATATAATTTCATAAAACTACACTTTTAGTATTATATTTGAGAAAAATTAAAAAAAATGGGTGACTGTAAAGTTTTTATTCTCATTTTAATATTTCTTAGAAAAAAATATGGTGTGGCTTATTTTTCTTAACTTATTCTCAAATATTTTTAGTAGTGCAGGGAAAAATATGCAAGGTAAACTTTATGCGACATTATCTATATAAAAAACAGGTTATAAATGCATCATCCATGTGTGATCAAATCCATTTTTCTATATATATCCATACTCATTTTTACATTATACAAATTCCCACAAAATCCATTTTTGTATATATATCCATACTCATTTTTACATTACACAAATTCCCACAAGATCCATTTTTCTATATATATCCATACTCATTTTTACATTATACAAATTCCCACAAAATCCATTTTTCTATATATCCATACTCATTTTTACATTATACAAATTCCCACAAAATCAATTTTTACTACTGAAATCTGGATAAATTTATAAAAATGCCCAAAAAATAAATCTTTATTTTATCTTTATACTCATGTCCACAAAATCTCTACTTTACATCCATATTCCTAAAATCTGTATATTTTACATCAATATTCATGAAGTTAATTTTTGTTTGATACCTATACCCACAAAGTTAGAGATCAAAGTTTACTTTACATCCATAAGACCAGTATAGTAGAGTAATGAACATAGGGCTTGTTCTGACTTAGTTTTGGTTTAGGTTGTTCGATATGCAGTCACTCATTACTCTGAAAAAGCTTGTTTTTCGTATGGACAGCAATCTTGAAAGGCCAAACATCAATTTGTTTGTTTGTTGTTTAGCAAAGGTATACAAAAGGGCTATCTGTTGTGCCCACTGTGAGACCCAATTTTTTGCATTCTAAACTGTCAGACTTACTGCCAATCCACCAGGGAGCGGACTTTAATTTATTTCCCATTTTTGTATTACAAAAAAGTCACTCAACAACTTATCTCATTACATGATAAAAGAACAATACTATTCAGGAATTCAATCACAGGTTTTAATTTTTAAAAACAAACAGAACCAAAACTATATACCTTTGTCTGTTATTAACTACAGACGTTTTTATAGGAGAAATGGTAATGTTAGAATTCAATGACACAGGGAGTGAAATGGCCACTGAGACTGGAGGAACTTGTGACGGGGATGATGTCTGAGGGTTTGCTTGGCGGAGCTGCACAGGGTATGGTCTTGTCTGCTGTGCCATTTGAGGACTGGGGCCCCTAACTTGGTTTCCAGGCATACGCTGTTGCCAATTAGCAGGGGTCTGGTTTGAACGGGGAGACATGACCTGTTGCTGACTTGTACTCAAGAGGTTTCTCAGCTGGACAGGAGAATGACCAGCCAAGTTAGGATGAGTAGAGGATGACACCTGTTGCTGGGGGTAGCCTTTGTTGGGAGGCTGGGCCATCATATGGCCACGGGGTCTCACAGCCATGCCAGTTCCAGAAATGTTACCATAAGAAGGTGGAGGTCGAACCCCTTGAGAAGGAATCATTCCTCTAGGCTGAAATAGGAATATTAATCATCTTTAAAGTCCACTTCTAAATTCTGTTTACAGTGTATTATCCCTCAGCTGGAAAGGTTTCACTTACATGGTTTACAACTACAATTAATGTCTTCAGATTTAAATCATACAACTGAAATCTGTTATTCAAGAAGGCATCCTAAATTGATAAAATACAAAGTTTCCAACTATTCATATTTGAAAGTTTTTTTCCATAACAATGACATATAAAAAGATATGAAAAATTATTTCTAGTTTACTGTTACTCCTTCGACAAAACTTACCTGAAAAAGTCATATTACTACCACTGACATCTTTCTAGTGTCCGAACAAGAAGAAAAAAAAACACTTTTTTTACTAAACTTTTCACATGTGAACTGTACAGCAGGAAGTATCTATTGTGATGTTTACAAAATTAGTGCAAAATATTTTATTGTTCTGCTGATTTAATAATTCTTTTAATGTGTAAACCAAATGATCTTTGTCTGAATTATCAACTTGAGATATACACGTGTTTTCAATATTTCAAAATCTTATAAAAACAAAAGGGTAAAAACCTTTTTTTTACAATCAAAATGTATGGATTTATTTTTTTTAACAACAATGTGACATTGTATCACATTTAAATGGAAATTCACTACGTCGAGCTATTGGACCCGATGTGAAATTACTTTGATTGAATGTATTAAAATGGTGTATCTACTGTGTTATTTAATATCCTAAACATTTAATTATGTAAAAGTGTATTATAATTTTTCTAATAAAACATATGAATGTATTCACTGATAGATAGTTCAGGAAGAGTATCCATACTGAATTAACTGTAAAATGGACAGCAACAGCCTATTAGAAAAACACTAGTAGAACTATATTGATAACTATACAATCTTCTTAAGCAGCTCAAGTATAGAGGACAAAATTTCAAAAGTCTTCAGGCCTCTACCCATTTCACAGTTAACATATGAATGTACCTAAATTCATTAACTCGTGAGGCCCATTCAAGGTGAAAAATTGTAAAATTACTCATCCAAATAAGTACAATGGTGAAACTATGATATTAATATTTTAACTAGTTAGGATATCTGGAATACTAGAATATCTGGATAAACTGATATGCAAAAACCTTTTTCACTTTCCTGTGGCACCCCCCCCCCCAACAAAATGATAAAAAAAACAAAAACAAATAGGGAATGATCTTCTTCACATTTGATTTAATATTATTTTAGTGAGAACTGGCAACTTTGTCTTAGGAGTATTCACTCATGAGCTACCTTGTATGGCTGTCTTGGGCCAGACCATGCTCTTTGTTTTGGCCTCTCACTACTGAGTGTACAAACAGGCTGGTTATTTGCTGTTACCTGTGCCTGCATCCTCATGGAAGGGTTGACTGCCTGCTGGCCTCTGCCCATCCCACCAGGAAGTAACCCGCCAACAGGCTGCTGGTCAACCATTAAGCAGCCAAGATGGCTTATGTACTCACTCAGGAACTGAGACTCGTAGGCAAATTTAATGTCAACCATGTGTTGAGGGTTAGGGACTTCACAGCGTCGTCGAAGAACGTGTCTCAGCTGAGAGGAGAAGAAAACCACAATTGACTTTAAAAAAGTAAACAAACAGAAATATATTTTCTCCATAAACGGCTACTCAAATTTAATTTAAATAAACAAAATATAGAAAAAGTCAACAAGAAACTTTATCTTCAAAATTAGAATATGTCACTTTAAATTTCTATTATTTCATGTAGCCTACATATAACTTAACATTTTAAACAGAATTTCGCATAACTTCAAACTTTACACAATTTTGTATAACTTAATAATTTTAACAGGATTTTGTACAAGTTAATGCTTTTAACAGGATTATATATATAACTGAACACACATATAATAGGATTTTGTATATCTTAATATTTTTATTAGAATTTCAAATAACTTAAAATTTGTAACAGTTTCTTTTAGAAAAATATGAATAGTTGAAAGATATCCTAACTATAAAACTATTGAATAATTTTTAACATTAAGGCTCTGCTATTATTACAATTAAAATATCAAAGTATTCTTTTTCAGAACATGAAATAAAGTTCAACAAGTTTATTGTTTACAGTAAACTTTGCAGTAGTTAATGTTATGTACATGACTAAAGATGAGTAAAACACATGCATGCTGATGGTACATACAAGTATATGAAAATTTATTTCACACATGTTAACACTTGAAAGTTTACAGTCAATAAGTTAGTTTCACCAATTATGGCCAACTGTTACAGTTAGAAGCAAGAGCATAGCAAGCTTCACTGAATATGGCTGATTGTTACAGTTAGAAGCAAGAGTATAGCAAGCTTCACTGAACATGGCTGACTGTTACAGTTAGAAGAAAAAGTATAGCAAGCTTCAATGAATATGGCTGATTGTTACAGTTAGAAGCAAGAGTTTAGCAAGCTTCACGGAATAAGGCTGACTGTTACAGTTAGAAGCAAAGGTATAGCAAGCTTCACCAAATATGGATGTTATAGTTAGAGACAAGGGTATAGCTAGCTTCACCAAATATGGCTCACTATCACCATTAAAAACTTCATCAAATACAGGTAACTGTTATAATTTGGAGACAACGGTATAACTAGCTTCACCAAATACGGCTGTTATAGTTAGAGACAACGGTACAGCTAGCTTCACCAAATATGGCTGTTATAGTTAGAGACAAGAGTATAGCTAGCTTCACCAAATATGGCTCACTATCACCATTAAAAACTTCATCAAATACAGGTAACTGTTATAATTTGGAGACAACGGTATAGCTAGCTTCACCAAATACGGCTGTTATAGTTAGAGACAACGGAATAGCTAGCTTCACCAAATACGGCTGTTATAGTTAGAGACAACGGAATAGCTAGCTTCACCAAATATGGCTGTTATAGTTAGAGACAATGGTATAGCTAGCTTCACCAAATATGGCTGTTATAGTTAGAGACAACGGTATAGCTAGCTTCACCAAATATGGCTCACTATCACCATTAAAAACTTCATCAAATACAGGTAACTGTTACAATTTGGAGACAAAGGTATAGCTAGCTTCACCAAATATGGCTCACTATCACCATTAAAAACTTCATCAAATGCAGGTAACTGTTACAATTTGGAGTAAGGATATTCTACAAAATAATAGTTTTTTTCCTCACCTGCCCAGTTAAAGACTTCTTGCTGTACACAAGAGCTATGTCACTCCCTTTTGTAATCACAGCATCAGCAAACTGCTGACAATGATGTAATCTTTTGGAGAGTGATACAAGTTCTTCATTCTTCATTGTCAGCTGTTTCTTCTTCCGACTACAAACTTCATTTAGTTCTTGTAGCAGAAGTTTACCACGTCGATTAATTTCTGTGATAAACCTAAAAGAAGACCAGGAACCTTATGCTTACTTTTTTAACCTAACATCTAAGAGCAGAAAACCATTTCGATTAATAATGAGTTTTTGCTAAATTTAAACAATAAGTACGAAACCAACTGAAACGTCATCATCCATGTCCAATACTTGTATGTAATTCTTTTTTTTTAAATCTTATAAAACGAGCCAGTATTTTTTATACAATGATTAACTTGCAAGTTCTTGAAACAAGAACAAATTTGAAAGTCCATAGGATATATCAGGAATTCTAATAATTTAAGAGAGTACTAACTACAAACTTTAATAAATTCTGTTTCAAAACAAGAAAAAGCAATAACAAAATATATTTCTGTGAACAACATTTTTGACATTTAATGCCAGTTCAATTATTTTAAATTGTTCATCACTGTTAAAAGTATGCTTATATCAAAAATGTTTTCTTCTTGGCATAAAAAAGTAACATATTACATTACGAAGTTTAATTACATTTACATCATAAGTGAAACATTAATACATGACATTATGGAGTTTAATCTCAAACACCTCACAAGGTACCAACTCTGAAATTTCTGAGCATTTGGAAATTGTAAAATGGATCATTTATTTCTGTTCAGAAACTAATATCAGCATCTTTAATAAACAGATTCACAAAACACATTAGTTAAATCAATATTTTATATCATTGCTTTGCTTAAATGCGATTACTTATGAATATTACTTTTTATCTACCGTACACAAAGGCTTGTTAAACACCTGGATAAGCGACACTCCACCACTCACTGCTGACACTTACAATTCTGTGCTACACATAACTTATCAAGATGTAAAGGGGTAATCAGAAAAAAACATCCTTTCCAATTAAACCACACTTAATGCCATTTAAGATGAAAGAAAGAAACAGAAAACAAAAGTTGGTATATAACGTAAAAAATGCAGTTTTGGTAAATATTAAACGCAAAAAACCACCAGTAGCTGGCACTTTAAGATAAAAATGGAAAGGTTAGAGATAGCTTTGGCTGCTTATTTTGTTTATTGATTAAATATTTTCCATAAAGACCAAATAAACTACATACTTTACAGCAAACATCTTAATTTCCTGTGTAACTTCTTTCTCTCGCTCTGTCACCTCGTCCTGTCTCTTACTAATCAGAGACCGAGCATTTTCAATGTAATTTTGTTTCTCTTTTATTTTGGTCAGAAGAGTACTCAAGTAGAGTTTGTGTTGTTCACAAGCAGCCGAGAGAAACTGGTATTTATGGTCCTTGTGCTCTGAAAGCTGACAATCTCGGCACGTCAGCTTGTCGCAGCTTTCACAATACAGCTTCAACGGTTCCTGTAAAAGTCACAGTTACATCATACATTTGATAAACAACCAATAACATGTTCAACACTTCCATAATGTTTACATCAATCAAGTTGGGTCTCCGTTTAAAATTGTTAAGGTAAATTATATTGTCGATGCATCATCTTTTTTACTGTACTCAATTTTGGCAGATTAGGAGCCATCTTCAGCTAAGACAGTTTTATTTTTCTAACAGGGTGGGTGGCCTTTGGAATGGGTTGCCTTCAATAGTGGTAGATGCAGTAAATGTAATAGAGCTAAAGGGAAGGCTTGATAAATATTTGAAAGATTAAAGCTGGCTTTGAGTTTTTAGTTTTCTTTTAAAATACGGTATAGATTAGTGGACTGGACAGCCTAAATGAACCAACAGGTCCCTTGTTGTCCTTACATTTTGTGTGATATGTTATATATTGTACAAACTCAACAATAATTAAAGAGCCATAAGCAAATGAAAACATCATTTAAATTGAAACAACACTCAACTAAATCATCTTGAAAACTGAACTTCATTCAGTGAAACAAATTTTATTTGAAAAACAACAACAAGAAATTGTAAGTTTTATCTCAAATAAATGTTTCTGTTACCACTACAGGAAAGCAAGACTGCAAGGTTTTAATTTACTTTTATTTCTTTGTAAATGAATTGATGAGTTAGGAGCATATTTATAAAATGTGTTTAATGGCTAGCTCTGAAAATACTGAGATATTACATTACAAAGAACCACATCTTGACTAAATGTTCTCATTAAGAAGTTAATACACAGGAACGTTACAAAGAACCACATCTTGACTAAATGTTCTCATTAAGAAGTTAGCATGCAGGAACATTACAAAGAACCACATCTTGACTAAATGTTCTCATTAAGAAGTTAACACACAGGAACATTACAAAGAACCACATCTTGACTAAATGTTCTCATTAAGAAGTTAACACACAGGAACATTACAAAGAACCACATCTTGACTAAATGTTCTCATTAAGAAGTTAACACACAGGAACGTTACAAAGAACCACATCTTGATTAAATGTTCTCATTAAGAAGTTAACACACAGGAATGTTACAAAGAACCACATCTTGATTAAATGTTCTCATTAAGAAGTTAACACACAGGAACGTTACAAAGAACCACATCTTGACTAAATGTTCTCATTAAGAAGTTAACACATAAAAACATTACAAAGAACCACATCTTGACTAAATGTTTTCATTAAGAAGTTAACACATAGGATCACATACAAAGTAGTTGTAATGGTTTTCAAAAGAGACCCAAAACTCAAACACTTTTGAGTAGTTCACTATTCTTCTTCAGGAAAAAGAACAGTTCATTAAGTGCTCGAGTTTTGGGTCTCGAGTGAGTGACTAAATGCTAACCTTGATATAAATCTGTTTTGGTACGATGCTAATAATGCACTGTTAACTTCTAGAACATTAACACCAAAACATAAACTCATGATACTGTAATGTTTTTTACAACTATAATTTTACCTTTGAATGTACAGGGCAAAAAAGATATTTCTGATCGAGGCCTGAAGTTTTCTCTCCTTCCATTTCATCACGTGGGCGTACACTATGATCTTTGGTAACTTTAACCCGTTGGTGAGCTTGAACACAAGTTTCACACAGCCACTCCTGGCAGTCGGTGCAAAACCCAGATGCTGGTGCACTATCCTCACAGCTTGTGCAACACGGTGGTTTCTTATCATCTCCTTCCAAAGCTTCATTTGCTTGGGCAATATTCTCAAGAATAAAAAGGTGATCAATAACACTATCTGGGTTGATCTCTTCCTTACAAGATGGGCAAGTCACTGGCTTGGTTGCTAAATTACAGAATAAAAAACAAAAATGTGATCAATAGTGCTGTTCAGGTTTATCACTTCCTTACAAGGTAGACAAGCCTATTTGTTAAAAATATGAATTACCCAAACTGTAAGATAAAATTTAATAATGGTTTTAAAATTTACATCTTTAATGTGTTTGTTTTTTTTCGTTATTATAGTCCATATTTTTGGAAAGAGATTTGTTTCAGAGCATACCACAATTTATCAATTAAACACCAACCAAGCCACATTTACAGTTTAATAAATATGAAATCCAATTTTGAAAATATAACCATAATGAATAAGATATTGCATTATTGCGAGATACGATTTTTAAACCAAAAATCAAAACATATACAACACTTGAATGTGACTAGTTATATAATTATCAACGTTTATTACGTTTTCGCTAAATATATCAAATGTTTATAAATTATGCCCAAATCACAACACTTATATAAATGCATTATTAATAAAAAGTTATAGCCAAGCTGTAACACTTGATAAAAATGCAAAACCAAAACATCAGAATGAATATTTTACTTAATTGAAAATGAGGGCCATCTTATTCACAAAACGATTATTTTAAGCCTAAATGAGTTGATTTAGCAATCAAGTAAATATGAAATGTGCTTCAGTTTTAATTCTTTTTCTTTATGATAGATTTTGAATACACAGAAGTCCCAAGTATTTCATTACTTTTGACAAAATTTTATTGTACTCAAAGCGTTTTTTAAAGTGTGTGAACGTTTTTTTAACTATATATATTTTTTTTTGGAAAACATAACACCTTAACACCTTTTACTAAGGAGTACTAACTTTTACATGTACACACCTTTCCTATCTGGTGTTATTCTGACTTAAAACACCTTAAGAATCGATTAGATATTTCTGAGAAACAAGACTCTTTAAAAAATTATCAAAAAAATAAATAAGCGAGTTCAATACAATCTTGAAACTGTTAAATACAGAAACAGAGTATTGAAAAAGTCACTCATAGCCTTACATAACTTAGTGTAGAGTAACAACTACATTGTTATTTGAAATTATTACAAATGCAACTTCTTTACTAAAACTTCTGATACATATAAACCTAGAATAAACATATACACACTATGTGGCAGTTTTTGTTCCTATGTCACACTGTGTGTTAGGTTTCAACAAGACAAAAGTGTTATAAATTTCTTTTGTGCAGCAAGATATTTAACACTAGACGTATCTTATTTTTTTTAAATATATTACAAACTTGTATGAGTGAAGCTAATACATGATCACTTTGATAAGTGCATGTGATCAACCACAAACTAGCTCACAACAACACACAACATTTTAATGATATCGAATGTATTAAATGAATAATTCCCACTAGAACATTTTAGCTAATCAGCTAAAACTTTGGATAAGTACAGAGTTCATGTCCTTATGTTTGAACTTGACATTTAATAAAACATTAGAACTTAAAACTATAAAGAAATACATGAATAAAATAATTAAACTCTTAAATAAAGCAATAATATATTAAAATAGTCACTCATGACCTTATGCAACTTGGTGTTCAGTAATAACTACAATATTGCCTAATATTGCACAGAGTAACAATATCCTATAACAATGCAAAGTAACACTGCTAAATTATGTCAAATTATATTGTTATATAACAGAACTAACACATTAACAAAAATTACTACAACTGTATTAGAAAAACTACTGAAATAATGCATAAAATAACAATGTAGTTTTTTTATATTATTGTTATTATTATTATTGATCAAAACAAGATACATTTTATTTTCATTATGGTTATGTATAAATCATGACAAAGTTTCAAAGTTTCTGGAGGAATCATGCAATGAATTTAATGTGGGGGTGTAAACGATTTCAGGAAAATAATCCGGTTGCCTGTCCACTCTCTTTTATCATATTATAAACAAACCAAAAGCTACAACCTTGCAAGTTACTTCATACCAATTAATTTTACCACAGATAAAACGACAAAAACAAGATTTTCACCGACTGCATGGCTGATACTCAGATACGGTAAGAAATGTGAAAAAAAATTGTATAAATTTTACTAAATTACATTCTGGAAATTATATTATTGATAATCTATTTCTGTATAATCGGATTTCCTTCTCTTTTTTTTTTCGCTAATTATCCTACCACCCGGTGGCGCATCGTTAAGTGTGAAGGCTAATAACACTAAAATTCGGGTTGACATACCCGCAGCGGGGGAAGGGCAGCATCGATAGCCAATTATGTAGCTTTGTGGTTAATAAGAAAACAAAAATAGTTATTCCAGATTTCCACCAGTTAAAGTTACCATTTATCAGTTAGAGCAGGTTCTAATCAATTTAACTCTTTTCATGCATGATGATGAAGGCAAACATGCATCGTTCGATATTTCGTGTCCGTCAGTGGTAAGAGCTAAAATCCGAGGTTCGATTTTCGCGGTGCACAAATACCAAATTGCCCATTGTGTAGCTTTGCATTAACAACAAACCACATCGTTATTTCGTATAGTATTTTTCGTTTTTTTTTTTGTATAATCAAAATAACTCGATCACTAGCGTTAGAATTTTGCAATTAATAACAATATTTTAATTAAACAAGTACCACTAAAATCAATACGAAATCTAAATTAAGTTAACAGCGGTTTGGTGAAAAGAATGGGAAAATCAATTTCAAGTCATATGTTCTCTTGACTATACACTACAGCAGAAAATGGAGGCGTTAAAGATGTGTATAGATAGCATATTTATTTTATAAGCTAATAAGAATCTTCTACTACTGTGAGCATTTTTCTGCCCGACAGATAGTTGTTATTCAAGTTTTGCAGTCTCTGTATATACCATCATTACTGCAAGCTAAACCTCCCCCCTTGTATTGCAGTTTTATCTTCAGTGTTACAAGCAGTTTATAACACGGTGAATTAAAGAAAACTCTTCGACAAACAAAGAATAAAATGGCAATAATACAATTTACATAATTACAACAATACACAAACAAGTTACAAACACCATAATTACAACAGTACACAAACAAGTTACAAACACCATAATTACAACAATACACAAACAATTTAGAAACACCATAAATAAAACAATGACCTAAAGAGATAAAACCCTGGTGAATGTTTGGTAAAAATATATATATATTTATAATATATTCCATATATTAAGTGTATATATATATTATTGTATATATTTGCATAGAAACAATATTCAATATATATAATTATTTATACTGTTTTAAATCCAGAAGGTTTCACAGTCGAAACTATTACCGTGTCACGTCTTTACATTTTGTGAAAATTTTCGGAAAAGTAGTAAAAAAATCATTTTTCATTCTCTCCTCTGTTCAATTGATTTAATTGTTCATGTATTTAAAACACTTGCAATAATATTTGCGTTTCAATAACTCAACAATTGTTTGAAATGTTTACAATAAATTACGTTTCGAGATGTCAGGCCCACAATATAACATCAGTTGAATGGCACTGTACGTGTAAATATGTTATGCTATTATTATGCTTAAACAATAATCTCCTGTTTAACATCTCTTTAAAACGAAGCATTCTTTATTCACTTTCATCTGAACTTGTCTGACTGATTAATGATATAAAATAAATTTATATTTTATAATATTTAATTTAACCAAAAATTGTTTTAAATACCGAATAAAGTTTTCCGTGAAATATATGATGAACACAGTTTATAATAGACGAAAATTAAAACAACAACATGTAATGAGACAAATGTATTATTAAACACATTTGTACATCGAAACAGCATACGCCAACATCTTTCTAAAACAAAATGGCCGCACTCTTTTTATTACTACAAGTAAACAGCACGATCGCGGCTAAAGTTTAAGTTGGTTACGCTTTTTGAACGTTTAGTGAAAGAACCCGAGTAAATAAACCCGTGCACTAAAACTGCGTCAACATATCAAGTGTGCGGGTTGAACGTTGCACAATACGCAGGTAAATGCATGTCGCAATCTAGCTGATTCCTCACGAGAACGATATTCCTGGTTTATTTATCGCTAAGAAGGAAGGATGACTCATGCCGAGTGCACACTCCACCGCTTGCCTTGAGCAGAACCAGACGACAGGAGTAGAGGCAGGCAATTTTGTCAGCAGCCCGTGTGCCAACTCCCTAGTAAAATGCCAAGCGCACCAGCTTCCGCCATACAAAGGGTCACCTTGAGGCTGGTGGCCCCCGGGAAATTATTACCAACGCGCCTTATCAGTTGTCGTTGCCTAGCAACGCTGAATTAGTCGTGCGACTGGTATATCTACCAATCCCCGAGGGCTTGGTTTAACGACCTAGTATTCTTGGAGCCATGGCATTGATGAATACGCCAGAGGCTATGACTGAAGAGTAGTCTAGACAAGTCACGTAGCTATCACGTGCTAAGTGTGTGGGCTGCCTCTACGCTACGTCGACAAACAGGATGTGATTGGTTCTCAGAAAACATGTTGGGTTTCCGTGGCGTCATCGGGTTTTACGCTTATATTCTGCATAACTTGGTACGCCCCTAGAAGCTGGTCGATGTTGCAAATAAAAAGATTGTCACGATATTTTACATGTTGAACAACGACAATAATTAAACATTTCACATGTTGTGCGAGAGGCTTTTAAAAAGTAAACACTATTTATCCCCCTCTCTCTCTCTCTTTATATAAACACTTTTTTATGTATCCTTTTTGTTATTTGAACATAAAAAATACACAATATCTTACTTGTGTTTTAGTGAACAAAGAAAAACGCGTTAAATTTTAAATAATTCGAAATAAAAAGGATAAAAAGTAAAATTTAAATTAAGGCTTTTTACTTTCATTTTAACATACTTAATACAAATTAAATAGACTATCGTACAATCTAGAAATAAGTTAGCTTGAGAAACGTGTAATCATTCTTATATTTATATCGTTTAATCTTCTCTAGATATTAAAACATAAAATCATGTGATCAACTTTGCGTGCATCGAACGGTAAA